TATACTACTATATTATATGTACTTGTATAAAAAATTTTTCTGAATAATATAATATAATTGCAAATCATTTATTGCATCATTTATTGCAAATTTTCAAATAAACGGTTTTCTAAAATCAAGAAACAGAGGTATTGAATTATTTATTTTAATAGAAATAATATATAATTATTATATATAAAATATTAAAACGCTTCTCTAAAAAAAGTTTGACACCAGAATCAATTTTTTTAAACGCTTTCTTTTAAAAAATAAGGAAAGAAACATTATCTATCTCATCTGCTTATATTATCTTTTCTTATATTTGTACAAGTATATTTAAAAGTAAAATGATAAACTCACTTTAATTTTCTATTAGAAAGTATTTAAATAATTAAAACATTTAAAATTTTTACTATGATTATCTCTTCGATTACAAAAGCACAATTATTTAATATGTGTATATATGTATAAATTATCATATATACGCATACATGATAATTATATACACATATACTATAAATTATTAATAAATAATAAATAAATAAAATATTTAAATTTTATATATTTGCGTAAATATTTAACTACAATTTGTAACTACCATAAAATATGTAGGATAAAAATAGTAAACTAAAAGATTTGACACGTGCACTTTGTTGTAATTTAATTGCATGCAAAACTGATTCTTAATATATAAAAATATTGTAACCCAACCACTTCTTTCTGTAGACAATCTTGCCGATATTGAATTCTCACAATAACTTTATATAATGGACAACGTACGAAATAAAACAGCACTAATCACAGGAGCCGGCCATTTCTTTTAGATTTTTAAATGAAAAATATTTGTTAACTTAGAAATTATTAAATAAATACATTAATTTCTTTAATCTTTAGAAATCTTTAAGCAAATCGTTAACATTTTTGATAAACTTGACATACTTGTTAATAATATTCATAGAAATTGAATCAGAGTGTTATAAGGCCTTTATTACGTAATCCTTAATGCAAAATCAGATCCTGATAGGGAGCCCTGATAGGGGCTTTACAAAAAATGTAACGCAATTTTCCGTTAAGAATCTGATAAGGAATAAAAGATCAGGTTCTTATCAGATTTCTAATGGAAATGCCTGATATTGCCCCTATGATAACCTTATTATAATTTTAATATTATTTAATTTATACTTTTAATATTTATTGTATTCTTATTTATTATTATTTATTTTTTATTTATTATTTATTATATTACTTATTGTGTTATTTATTATATGTAGGCTTTCACAGAAATAAAATTATTTTATTAACTATTTAATAACTATTTAATAACTTTTTTACACTGAAATAAAGTTAATTAAACATTTATTTAACATTATACAAGAATTTTTATATACAATGAGAAACGATATTAAATAAGAAATTTAACTTAAATTTAAAGAGAATAATATATACATAAAACAATTAAAAATTTTTAACAATTAAATATTTTAATATTTTAATTTAAACAATTAAACATTTTAATAATAACATTTTTATATTTTTTAACGATTTAACATTTTTAATAATTTAACACTTTAAACAATTAATGTAATGTAAGAGCCGAGTAAGAGTGTCAGACAAACAATAATTCAACATTTTTTTATTCCTTTGGCTTTCGTTCATTTTTTTTTCCGTCCTAATCCTTGGCATTATTTATTACACTACCTAGTGCTTGAAAGAAATTTATCTTCTTTAACTGGAGATAAATTATTATAAGCCTTATATTCGATTATAGCATCTAAAATATGTTTATATATTGCTGTAGAAATTAAAGACAATACTTGTATGTAATATAAAGAATATGTAAAAAAAAATTTGTAAATAACAATAAATTTCTTTAAAAATGGAATTAGTTTTTTGAAAGATATGTTGATTTTATTACAAATTATTAGTTTAAGTAATAAATTATATATAATTTAGTAGTAGTAATAAATTATATAAATAAAGTATATAGTATAAATAAATATATAAATTAGTATATATAAATTAGTATATATAAATTTAGTTTATAATATATATAAATTATATATAGTATATAAATAAATAAGTCAATATAAATCTACTTTTCATGCATTCACTAAATGTAATATCTTTAATGGCTTTTTTGCAACCTTTGGGCTTTTTAGCTGTATAACTTAAAACGACATTACGAGACAAACTTTTTTTAAAATTTTGGTTATAGCTTTTATTATTGGTTGAGATAGATCTATTGAACTCCACATATAATTTGTCTGTAATGAAAAGAAATTAACATAGAATAAATTTAAATTTTTATTTGTAGATTAAATTACATTTAAAATGTAATTATGTATTTATTTATGTGGAAACGAACTTTTAATTCGGGTGGAATTTTCGAATAGAAACTGCCTTTCTACTGCCATATTGCGTAATAATATTATATACCATATTTTTACTTACAACATCTTCGCGAAGAACTGCATTAGTTTTTAACTCAGCAAAAATTTCGAAAGACTCTTTATTAAGACTCTTATTACTCTTTATTTTAAAAGGAAGCGATTCGATTTCTTGATTTTTTAAAAATTCGTGTAATTTTTTAAATTCTGAGAATCAATGTATTTGCGTAGGGTGCGAAAGAGTCATCTCATTTTAATTTCCATTACATGTCCTGCAAGTCTTGCTATTTGTGCTGACAAGTTTCTGTAGCATTTTAATATTAACTCTTGCATTTTAATATTAACTCTTACAGTTCTACAAAATAATTTATTTATTACTATAAATAGTAATTACTATTTATTACTATAAATTTATTATTTATCTATTTATTATTATCATACTTATTTATTGATGATTTATTGATATTTATTTATCTATTTATTTATTTATTATTATTTATTTATTACTATACTGTATTTTTAAATTTAATTTATATTTCTTATCGTTTGCTTCGTTAACGTTGATAAAATTATTTTCGAAATTTGTGATTTCTATATTTTCTGCATTATTTTTATTAATGTCTTTTTTAGAATGAAAAGTGTCACTTACAGTAGTTTCTATCGTCATTTCATCACGATTAGTAACTGATTCTCTTTTTCAAGTTTTCTTTTTTTATATCAGACTGAATGGATTAGATTTAGCATTTTTATTTTTATATTTACATTTTTTTGATATTTTGTTAGTGCAAATGTTTGTATCACTGTTACTTTCCATTTCGCTAAACTCCTCATTATTATTGGAGTCTGATAATCCGACAGATATATCTTTCTTATGACGGTTCGACCATTTCTTAGTAATATTTTTCGTTTGTACTTTATTTATAAATAAGAACATCAAGAATATCACATTTGAAGAATATCACATCATGAAAGAAAAAATATTTTAATTAAAGTAAAGTCGAAATATATATTTATTTTAGTATATAAATATATAATCAGACCAGTAAATGATTAAAAATATAAAATATAAAACAAATACAAAACAAATATATAAAATAAATATAAACTATAAAATAATAGTATAATCTTAAAAATTATATGATATAAAAAATAAAATAAATAAAATATGTATTGTCAATTAAATTGTAATATTGTAAATTATATAATATTATATTATATATAAAATATTAAAATAGTATTTTACTTAATATTACATGAACGTACTTGCTTCAATATTTTTAGAAAATTGTATCGATTTTTCTAAGTCAATAGCATGAGGCATTT